CAAGTAGACCGAAATGATAATGACCTTCATTTATCAATTGACATTGAGCCTTGATATTGAAAGTCAAATAAACTTTGCCTGATTTAGCTAATAAATTAATTGGCTATAACTTTTTTTATTTATGAATGGATTGTCGACATACTTGAGCACATCTACATTAAAAACAATGTTCTTAAACAGATAAAATACAATTTGATCTATAAATAATGATTAACGATGACCTTGGAGGTCAAATGATTTTAATGACATATAACATATATGACCAAACTGCGTGTTGAATAACTCTGACATGACCTTGGCCTTTAATTGACATTGGCCGTCAATGCTATAATACTTTCAAATTTACTTATAACTTTGTTTTTTTGCATATTTCTTTCATTTTTGGACAAAAGAACATTGATGACTTAAACTATTCTGTTTTGACTTTGACTTATTATTAACCTTGACCGCAAGCAAAAACGTATTGGAATTTTCCTAAAGTTGTTATCACTTTGTTTTTCATTTATAGATTCGATTAATTTTCTTAAACAAAAGTAAATTCACGTCAAAACTGTCATGATATTTTAAGTGTGACATTGGCCGTCAAGTTCAGATATAAAATCTGATTTTTATTTGTTACTAGTCTTCCTCTGATGTGTTTATCTTTAGAAATAAGAAATTGATGGCTTTTATTATGTGTATATCATAATTAAGATTCAATCAAGATTATAAATACATCATCAATGAAAAAGATTAATTTATTAAAATTAAGCGACAAATCATTGAATCTCACAATGAATATAAATGATCTTTCTATGTCAGGAGGTAAAAAAAATCAACGCCGAGGGAACTGAATGTATATAGGTTCAATGACGTATTTCTACAAGATCATTTCTGCATATTACGTTTTCCGCCTTTTATAACCATAGCAATAGTTAGAATTTCACTTGGTTGGGTTTCATTTTATTAAATTGTCTGGTTTAAAAGGAACATGGATGGGCTAAGAGTGAAGTTCGGTGCACCATTGTCTGTTTTATTATCTGTTTTAAACTCCCCACAGCTGTGCTTATGCCCCTCTGTGTTCCTCAGATGTATGTCTTTGTTCTTTCATACTATTATGGTAAAACTTTTGTGTCCCTTCATGTTATTTTCTACAGATTTTCCCATTGCCCCTTTTTTGTTATGTCTATTTAAATTCCTTGTCGGTTTCTATTTTTTCTGTTATATATTATTAAAGGAAATTGCATTAAAGTAATCACCCCGTCCGTGTTTTGTCCTGTGTTCTGCTCTACTTTTTATAGTGTCCAGATGGGCTCCTTACCGGTGGTACTGTGTTGCTCGGTCGTGTGGGCGTTTTGTTCATTCATCGCCGTTTTAGAACTTCTGTCAATCATGATGTTAAATTTCTTAATTACAAATTTGACAAACGATTGTTTGTTTGTTGCAGTTAAATACAGATATTCGGTCTATCTAAGACTGCTTGTGCAAAGTAATAAGCCATTCCAATAAACCATTTCGACGTTCAGGTCATCTGCTAAAGTCTCGGCTAAAATCATCTTGCGTACATGAAATAAACTACCGGATTGCAGACAAATGAATTGTTTTTATAAGCGAGTAAACTAATGCTAATAAATGCATGCAACTGTAACGGACATATGCCAGTCCAGTTTGAAAACGTTTATCTGGACTAAGCTGCGAGTGGGTGCGTTGAACTAGTCGGCTGCAGCCCTGAAAAGAAAGATCTGATTCTGTTATATATATTTTTTACACCCAAGTATATTAATTTAACGTTATTACAAAGATTGCCTTTTTGGTTTCCGTAAATTCCATATTATGTCCCGGATGTACCTCCAATATTGAAACAAACACAACACAATATAGAATGTAACGTGATCAAGGTCAAGAAAAAACAAGAAATGTCGAACGACACATAATGCCCCTTTTTCTAGCCCTTGACTCGCATGTTTTGTAATTTTGTCAGAGAAACTTACCAAAAATGTGACCATGAAGTATTCAATTATGGAAAAACAAAATAATAATGAAGACCTTTTGATAATAGTTTTCAAGATAATGAGGCATTTAAGGCCCCTGTGACCATGACCTTTGACCTAGTGACCACAAAATTAATAGGGGTTACTTACTAGTTATGACCAATCAATATTAGAAATATGAAGACTTTGTGATGAATAGTTTTCAAGATGATAAGCGGAAACTATTCTGACATTAAAGGCCCTTGTGATTTCGTGACCCCCAAAAACAAAACGGTTCTTCTGTTGGTTATGACCATGCACTATGTGAAATATGAAAACCTTGTGATAATTGTCTTTCAAGATAATGAGCTGAAATCCTCTACCATTCAAAGATCATGTGACCTTGACCTTTGACCTGGTGAACCTAAAATCTATAGTGGTCATCTACTAGTTATGACCAATCAATATGTGAAATATGAAGACTTTGTGATAAAAAGTAACCAAGATAATGAGCGGAAATCATATTAACATTCAAGGCCTCTGTAACCATGACCTTTGGCCTAGTGACCCCAAAAAAATAAGGGTCATCTACTAGTAATATGAAGTATTTGTTATAAATTGTAACCAAAATAATAAGCGGAAACCATTCTGACATTTAAGGCCCCTGTGACCTTGACCTTTGACCCAAAATCAATAGGGTCATCTACTAGTAATGACCAATTAATATGTGAAATATGTAAACTTTGTGATGAATACTTTTCATGATAAATCAGTGGAAACCATTCAGACTTTTAAGGCTCCTGTGACCTTGACCTTTGACCTAGTGACCCTAAAATCAATAGGGGTCATTTACTAGTTATGACCATCAATATGTGAAATATGAATACTTTGTGATACCATGATAACAAGCGGAAATCATATTACCATTCAACGCCCCTGTCACGTTGACCTTTGACCTAGTGACCCAAAAATCAATAGAGGTCATTAATACTTAAGACCAATCAATATGTGAAATATAACGATTTTGCGATTTATTATGACCAAGATAATCAGCGGAAAAGATTCTGACATTTGGGCCCACTATGACCTTTAACCTTATAACCCCAAAATCAATAGGGACATTTACTAGGTGAAATATGAAGACTTTGTAATTTATACTTTCAAAGATGAACATTCGAAACCATTCTGACATTTAAAGCCCCTGTGACATTGACCTTTGACCTAGTGACCCTAAAATAAATAGGGGTCATCTACTTGTTATGACATTTTTCACTATGTGAAATATGAAAACTTTGTGATGAATAGTTTTCAAGATAATCAGCGGAAACAATGTGGTCTACCGATAGACAGACCGACAGACCGACGGACCGACAGTGAGACTGACATTAGCAAAACAATATACCCCCTCTTCTTCGAAGGGGGGCATAATTAAGGACACTGGTATACACATTTATAAACAGGTTTCCTTGCAAATTCGACATAGTTAACGAATCATTCTATTGGAATATATGTTCTTGAGATGTTTATAAAACGTTGGGTTTTCAATCTTAGAAAGAGTAATAAAATGATGCATATACGAAACGCCTAAACGGGGTCATTACTTCTTATCTAATTATGAAATGTGTCTTTTAACTTTGTACTCCTTATCTTGTAACTTTCTGACATCATGCACGTTGGCGATTATTTTCATAAAGAAACAACAACAACAACAACAACAACAACAAAAAAACAAACAAACCACACACACAATTTACCAAAAAAAAAACTTAAAAGAGGTAAAAATATGCACACATGGTCATTACTGCTTAAGTCAGACAGTAGTAATATGGTAAGTCATAAATCACGCATGTTTATTGTTAATTGAATCTTAAAGATCCTGTATGTTTTGTGATTGATATTGTTACTACATGTATGTGTATACCACACTTGCAGAAAATTATATATGTATATAATAAAACAATTTTTAAACATCGAAGAATATGTAAAATGTGTACTGCAAATATTTGTGCACATTATATTTAATCAATAAATTTCATGTATTCATTTCTTATTGGAAAATTTGACTTATAATTTATAGAAAATAAATTTCTAATTACCTCCATTTATTTATATGAAATGTTAAATGTTAAAATGTTAAATTGGGTAATATCTTAATAGATAATGCTTATTGGAACTTACAATATTGACAAATCTTAATTTGAGCATCATATTTATGAAATTAAACCATGAAAAAATTGTGTTACAGGATCTTTAAATCCTTTTTTACTTTTTTATAAAATCTTTTTATTTCTGAGGTTTGATGTTTTAAAATATTTCGGCTAATTTGAAGGCATCGGCTTTAAATGTTTAATATCTGTATAAGGTTAAAAGGTATCAATTACTGAAATTTTCGTACACATTGTAACATGGTAAATGAATCTCTTTTTTTTCTCTCTTTTTGTTATATTTAAGTCATTCGTGTTTTTTTCCTGATAAACATTTTTTGAATGAAAATTCGTTTGTCCTGTACAAAACACTTCTTAACAATGGGAAAGTAAGAAAATTGAAATTGTACATTATGTATTAAACTAGTAAACGATTTTGCTTCCTTTGATTTATTTCAAATGCAGTTTACAGAAACGCAACACAATAAAAACTAATACAGAAAAAAACACAACAAAAACAAATTATAACAAAGGATTTTTCTTATATACCATACATACGAATCCAGTTATTTCTGTTATACACATGTCTATATGAATTTAGAATAAATATTGTCTACATGTATTTAGATTTAGAATGCACAAAGTTATGGCACATGCACACATCAAAATTAAACATGCATAAACTTCAGTATCTAACTTACAATTCTAGCTTAATCTATAGAATATTAATAAAAAAATGAAGAAACAAGGTATTGTCACTATTTAATATTGTAAATTTATCTGTATTTAGCATACAAGAGATATGACTAAACAATAGACATGGCTTCTGTCAATGAATTCAATTTCGTTTATTTTATAAAAATAGTCGGCATAATCGCTATTTATGTCTTTTAATGTCTTTTTGTTTTTTGTTTGTTTCTTTTTCTGTCATATATAATATCTTGCTTAAAATCATCAGCGTCGTCGTAATCGTCATACATATCTTTTTTACTTCTTTTCTGTTTCTTTTTTATTCTTTTTGGTTTGTCATACTTATCTTGTATGGAAGCACATGCCTCTAAGTAATCATAATTTTTATCTTCATGTGAATCTACCGTGGTGTGCATTTGTATTTTCCTTCCTCGGGGTCCGTTTCCTACACCGATCTTCTTTCCTAAAAGTGACAACATTGCATCGAATTCCGGGTCAAATTCACTCATGACCTGCTCAGCACATTGTGAATTGTTCGATTTATTTTCAGACAGGTACTTTTTACTTTTTCTCAAGATATGATACACAGTATCGCCTCTCTTCGTGATAATTCTTGGATCTGCTCCTTTTGCCAGAAGGGTCTGTATTAACCCAACCTTTGCCTTTTCACATGCTACATGAAGTGCAGTTTTCCCGTATACGTCCTTTGCGTTTACATTAACATCGACATCTAATGCTAAACGTTTTGCGATGCCATTTAAATCTTTGTGAATAGCAGCATGTAGAGGAGTGAAACCTTGTTTTTGTGGTTTATTCTTATCGGTTCGTCCGTAGTTTAATAATTTATTGATGAAGTCTTCCTGTGTTCTCATAATTGTATAGTACAAAGGAGTCTTATCATTGAAACCTGTTACATTTGGATCAGCTTTAAGTCCTATCAAAGCATCGAGAAGCTCCTCATTCCTTTTCCAAACGGCAATATGAAATAAAGACATTTCCTTGATAACATGTCTTTTACCATACGAGGATGTTTTTAGTTTATCCTGACTCGGGTCAGCTAAATAAAGAGCTCGTACAATATCAATTCTTCCTCGTATAGCAGCAAGATGTATTGGAAATTGTCCACTATCGTCTTCGACCATCAAAGAAGCACCCTTTTCAAGGAGAACTTCCACGAGTTTCATTTCATTCAAATCAACAGCTAAATGCAATGGTGTTCTTTTTAATTCACCCCCTTTTATATCAAGTGGTGCTCCGGCATCTATCAATAGCTTGATCACATCTTTACGCTTGTATAGTATTGCTTTATGTAATGCCGTCATATGTTTCGTGTTCTGTACTCCAGGATCTGCACCTGAGGTTATCATACATTTTGCAGCTTCAAATAGACCCTTTCGCGCTGCTATAATTAATGGAAAATTACCATTGACTGCATTTCCTCTGTCATTTACGTCTGTACCTGGATATTGGAGTAATATTTCAAGAAGCTCTATGCTCTTATGAGAAGCGATATATATCGCATCGCCAGTTACTCTTGCTCCATGGCGTAGGAGGAATTCTACTGAATCTTTTTGTCTTGAGTGAATGGCCAACAATAAAGGTAAAGACAAATCCGCGTTCTCCTCTCCTAGTACCCGTCGTGCTATAACTTCCTTTGCAAATGTCGTTGCCCCACTGTACCACGCATATCCCATCAGACACATATCAAGTTGCTTCATAGATATTCCATAGTCAAGGAAATGTCCCATCATTATCACGACGGGTACAGAGAACAATTTTTGTACGAGATTTTCTTCAATGACATAGTCGATGAACTTTTTCACAAATCTCTCAGAACTAAAAGCTTTGTGTTTAATGATACCAAAATCAATCAAGCGGATAACGTAGATGTAATTATTATTCTGTCCGGTCCTTGAAAGTGTTTCAAACTCATCTAGTTTGATGTTTTCAGTATCTTGGTTACAGTTTTCCCGCAAAAGCATTTTAACACATTTAACTACGAGACAATCGGTTTGACTCTCCATTAAGGCTACTTTAAAATCATCTAGTTCGTCTTCCCCAATTGAAACAAAATCCATAAGAAAGTCTCGTGGACATATTTCTAAAGCTGCTCCTGGTTTTTGTTTACCGATGACCAACCCAACCATATCTGCGATGACATTATGACTGAAAGTATATTCACCAGTAGCCTCTATATAAACAAGATAGCCTCCGACATGAGATTCTAATGAAGTTCGCATTTTGTCAAGGAAAGCTCTGCTTAAATTACGGCCAAATATTTCTGCTACCTTCTTGACGTTGTTGGATACACTTCTACATTTCCTCAGTTCTTCTCGTGATACCTTTTTATTATCACTGGCCCATACAGCTACAAGCGCTAAAAACTTTTCTTGTTCTTTGCCGCTATACAACATATCTAAATATGTTTTAATAAACTCGGCTGGTTGCTTAAAAAAGGATGCACCTTTGTCGAACATGGTTTTGTTTCTGACAAACATAGATGCACATTCTGGGAAACCGAACAGAAAATATTTTACTTCTTCTGTCGGGCCTTTAGCAGCTTCAACACATTCATGTATTATTTCGTCATCCAAATATTTGTCGTGCTTTGCCGCTTGCATTTTTAGAATTTTAGTTTTCTCGGCAGATGTAAGCTCAGAGGATGTAAGCAGCAGAAGAGCTTTGTTATCGTTCTTGAACATTGGCAGAGAACCAAGTTCCTCTTTAGATGCCTCATTAACGTAATGCCTGGATGTTATTATCAATCGCACACCATTTTTCTTTGCTGCTGTTTCTAGTTCATTCAAATGATTTCGCCAATCACCGACCAACTTCTGATCCAAAGCACCAGCACCAAATATGTCATCTATGATAATTGTATCGAAACGTTTTAATGACAAATCGATTTTTCGCCAATCAGATGGCGCTGCAAGTTTTAGGCACTTACGTGGGGAGAGACTTGCATGTAAGGCAAGTCTTGCAGCCATAGTAGTTTTACCTTCCCCTTGATGACCAATTAATATTACCATATTATTATCTTTTAAAATTGACTTTGCTTTGTAGTAGGTAGTAGTTTCTACATATTGGAGATCGTCTTGATAATCTTGTAGAAAATATTCTGTATGAGCTGTAACCAATAATCAATTTTAAAGTAAATGTTAGATTCCACAGCTTATGAATAAATTATGAGCTATTTTCTCCTAATAAGGGTACTGCTCAGAAAATATTACTTTCTAATCAGATACAATGACAGATCCAGAAACCTTTAATACAAAATCTAATTACAATATAATGTATGCAGCCTATTATACACATATTAAAACACAACACTCGTAAAATTTGAAGCACCTATCTTACCTTTTATACTCATTATACTCATTTCAGCTGTAACTAAATCAAGTTGTCGAGCCTTCAAATCATCAATTTTCTGCTTCTGATCTTGTATTTTCAATTCTGTAGCTAGTCTGATCATGACCTGAATATCAAGAAAAAGTACGTTCGTTATTACAGCTGTCACAATTAATATTTATAAGCAGCGCCCCTTATTAGAAGTTACAACCTCATACGACGTCTAGTCGAGTGCTCACATACTAGACTTCAGCCACTTGTTTATATTGTTGAAAAAGATGTTAAATACGTTTTAAGACACCGCTCTAAATGCTAATTGCAAGCGAGAGTAATGCCCAAACATAAGAATAATACATCTGGACAATCGCGTCTATTAATTTGATGAAATTGTCATTGGGTACTTCAAAAGATAGCAACAGAATGACAGCGTATAATATTACTCTTTGTTAACAATAAATTGAATCGGCCGACATCATTTGAAAGTAAATATTTTTGTACAATTACATCTACAGCATTGGAAAAAAATGAGTTTTATACCGTTTTATGAGAAAGAGTAACAATATAAATCCGCTGGCAAAAGAACAGAACCACTATAGGCCAGCTGTCAAGATGCATTATCATCAATTAAAGTGATTGTTTAACTCAAGTCAACGGTTAATATACAAACGTACATTTTCTGCTAGGTCCCACATGTCTTCAAATTCTGCCGGCTCTAATGAAGCAACTTGTTTGTGCAGCATCTATTCAATTATTTTAAAAATGAACGTTAGTACACAGTAGAACATTAATATAATCATATAACATACACTTCTCTGCGGGAAATTTTGCGAAATATTTTCTCCGATCTGTACAAAATATCTAGGGTAAGATCAAGTGATTATGAAGGATTGACAGAAATGCCATGTTTTTTATTCACAGTAAGAATTTACTTTTTAATCGTATCAAGAAGAAATAATATAATTACATCATTCCTTAAGTTTATTAATCGAGCAATGTCAGCTTCCGCAGTAACTACATTTTCAGGAATCTTGCGGTTGTCAGGCTCACCCCACCATTTCGATTTTGACTTAAGTCCACAGATGTTTCTTAGTAGATAAGCTAGGAGAGTAACGTCAAAAGTGTCCGAAGACGGTTGATGATATTTCGGAAACAAAAGACCCCACTGCATTGTATTTAGAAGATTATTTTTCTGTGCATGATTTAAAGTTTTCTTAAACTTTTGTAACGTCGCATGAAGTTTATGTCGCGGTACAGCCATGTCAAATCGTGCCCTTAACAAGTTGGTTACCTCTTTAACGATCAGCAAATGCATGCGCAAGAAATAAGCCGTTTTCTTTTCAAGGTCGACAGGCACTCCTGCAGAGGCTTCGATAAGTCCTGTCCGGCCAGGATTACCCCAACGTACATGTACTCCTCCTACCGTATGACCTCTCCCATTAGCCATTTTATTATGTCTCTATCTGAAACAAATCATTTCAATTTGCCGTTATATATTGATATATAATTTAAATAACAATAATGAGTTCCTTGAACCAAACACATTCATTTTACATGCGCTTTTACCCGATTTCATATTTCCATACTAAATATATCCGTGATTTTCCAGCGGAAGTCGTTGTACAATCCAGTGTCTTTGATGTCTAAGGTCATGGTTATACATAATCCAGGTCAAGTTACATACCTCTTTTTTTAAAAAATGTACACTTTTTATCAAGAAATGTGCGTTAACTGAGACATCACACTGACCTAAATTGCAGAAATAAAGTTGTTACTGGCGTTAAATAGCTGAAGAACATCAAAGACAAAACACTGCAACATGTGATAATACTTAAATACAAGAACCTAAATGACGTCGCAATTATCCTATTAATGTAGGATGAATCACACATGAAATAACCAACGGGACCGAAATAAAAATATAAAAATATATACTATTTATTTGCCATTGGTCTTCGACATTTTTCTTATGCATTGTATTTCCAAATATATTGGCTTAAATATTAATAAAAGCATATGACCGGTATGATCTAAACACACTATTTTAGAACACGTATAAAAAGTTACAGTCCACAAATATTTACAAGTATTTACGTACTTGTCATGGATTTTTTCTCCTATGAAAGTTCCTTTGTTATATACACAGTACATAAATATGTTTCTAGAGGTGACTTCAGATTTATTTTAAACTGTTCGTTCTATATGTTAAAAGTACTTTCATTAAGGAGTAGTACACAGCACTTCAGTTTCGGTCGGGCTGGCTGATCAGTCACTGTTAGTCTATGAGGCCAAAATTGCACTTTACAAGAACATAATGATAAAAGTTTAACGAGGAAGTTAATCATAATGCTTGAATAACAAACCTAATAGTTAAATGTACGAAAATTGTTATCCGCCAGCTTGTATATTGCGTTTTGTTTTGTATATTCTAATTATACGCCGCTGAAATTTAGTCGTTAACGAAGCAACGTTGTATAATGGATACTTTTCTACACAACTTACTTCTATTTATATGTAACATTGTCCTTACAATCTGGCTACTTATGAGTTTAAACATTAATTTTACGGGAAAGGAAGATAGCAATGTAAACATGACATTTAATCTTGAATTTGAAGTATACATAATTGTTGTACACCTTAAGTTTGGTTATTACAAAATAGACTAAGTTCGTTTCAAATATGAATCTATATTCAACTATCCATTGACCGAAGTAAATCAATTTCCGGCGTTCCGAGGTTATAAACCCTCATTTCTTCACGAGTTTGCTCTTTATTTTATGTTCCAAACAGTAGGTTATTTACAAACTTACGGTTATTGTCGGATAAAATAAACGCAAAATTGTAATCAATATCTTTATCCGTCGTCATTGATTACACATGCATTTATTTACCTGTCCTACCTCGGCTTGATTCAAAACTTTAAATATCAATATTTAATATTTGTTTTGCTTTTGAATGCATTATGCGCACAATTAATAATCATTTCTATTTTTCTTTTACTTGGATAAAAATCAAGTTTACAACTGTCAATAACCCATTATTTGGCTATCTAAAGAAATATAGGTTTCAATATATATTTTATCAAAGAATATACTTTGGTCCTGTTCACTAGTTTAAAGATAAAATATTAACTACATCTCTTATGAAAACATAGAGCACAAATGTTATTACTTAATAAGCATTGAGTCAACTACTCTCATATTTCATATAAACATTTATGATGAATAATGTGATAATATGGTCAAAATACATGAATAAATAAAATAAAAAAAGATATGATTCATTATTACAGGCACAACATGCTTAAGAAAAGAAGAGGAAAAACTTATTTCAAAAAGGCAAATATAGCTTTTTATTTTATGCTTTTTAGTGGATCACTGATTTATCCCTGAAAATTATATTTGATAATTTCACAGTGAAAATTATCAAAATATAATTTCACACTTTTCAATGACGAAACTACTTTTTTAAGATTTTCCCCATGTGATACCTCAATTTTATTTTTGCTGACAATTCTGACAATGTCAGGCTGTGTAAAGAAAAAGCAAAGCTGAAATTGATAAATAACTTAAATGTCAAAAGTAATAAAAAAAGAAGAAAACTTACTTCTATTCATTCAAATTCCAATCACCAAATTTCGTCTCTAAAATTTTTTGTTTCATTTTTACAGTCTGAAAAATAAATTCCTTCCCTATGCAAAACTGCTCTTGATGACATTTGGGCATATTAACGTATCCTACGAGCAATAACTGCCGTATGCTTGATGAAAAATTGAAAAGCAATGACAGCCATCACTCGAAAAATAAGTAAAACAACCCAGCTTTCCTGAGCAAGCTTCCAAGTTTTCCATATTCCTAGCTCCCCTTTTTGAATGTTTTCACATCTGTCAACACTTATTTTTTGTCTGTTACAATCCTCAAATAAGTTTTCTTTCTATTAAAAAGGTGTATGACTAACAAATTCAAATTATATCCCTCTGAATCTTACACAAATATTTTCCTCCCATGAAATACACAACTTTAAAAAATGGCTGCCGCTTACATTTTACAAAGCCAGGTCTAATATAAATTCGCAGTAAGTAACAGAAATATGGATGGATGGTTGGACTTTTTCTCCTACAAGAATTGTTTGTTTTTATTATTAAAACAAGCGATCATTCATATTTTTTTAATAAAATGAATAAATATCACCGTCATTTAACGTTGATTGGCGGACTTATTTTTCAGCTCAAGACTTCTTGTTTTTAATGAGAAATTCCGACTAAATAGGGGTCTCAATGGGGAAAACAGATTTTAATATTAACGTTAAAATTATGGAAATTTCATTTTTACTTGTTTTTAAGCATAAAATAAAAAGAACATTTGTTTGTTTGTTGTGTAAGATGTAATTTTATTTCATCTCGTGAACTTTATAAACAGTTTTCTCACTCGTGGCTACGCCACTCGTGAGAATACTGTTTTTAAAGCCCACTCGATGAAATAAAATTTCATCTTGCACACAAACAAACAAATATCCTCTATATCAATTTAAATAATGGTTTTAGAGCATGATATATGCTTATCAGCTGAAACTGAAGAAAGTTGCACTGAATATGAAATTATTCGTCATAAAAGTATCAAAATGGGACACAGTAATATCTGTTACTTCCAGGCAATAAACTAATTCACTATTACTGTACTTATTGCCAGACAGAAACATAAACAAAAGTCAGTACAGCTAAATGGAAAGTTTGAAACAATAAAAAGTATCTGCTTTTGAGAAATATAAGCATTTTTAGGCATTATAAGCCTTTAATGTCGACCATTAATATAGTCTATATATCCAGTATAGACGAAAAAGGGGATGCAAGTTGACTTATTAAAAATATGATAAATTTGCTTGTTTGCTGTTTCCAACCAAGAATTTCAATATTATAAACTAGGAAAAAGGCATCACATCACTGTTAAGCCTTTTTACAAAACGGCGCCCCAAGAGCTATTTATAGCGGGCAGTGAAGTTCGTTTTTAAAAAACGAATCGTCCGCTCTTATTTACATTTAGAGAGTGGATCGGTGAATTAGGGGTTTTCTTACTGTTTATGTATTTTATCGACGACAGGTTTCATTTTGCACATTAATTCTTTTGATTCATGTTGTGGCTGAGGGGTTGCCTTAAATGATTGAAGCATAAGAATTACAGCCACCGTTTATTCCAGCGTGATCGCGAGAGCCGACTAAATGTTCGAATAACTTGAGTCTTTGCATCTCTTAGCTCCAGCAGGTTAGGCGGTTTTGACCCCTGATATTGCTTTGAAGATATTTACACCATAGGTTAACCAAAAATATCTTTCCCCTTTTCGGCGCTGTGTTGGTTAGCCGTTAAACCAAACAGCCAAAGTTGTATTATACTTAAACGAGTTTAATAATTGGTCCATAATTGAATGTCTATAGTACAGTTAATAAATATATTCGATATAATTTATAATTATATGTGTCAACAAACCACAAACATTTTAAACAGGAACCTGTTAAACTATAAAAAAAATCTACTTTCGGTATTAATTAAATTATGCTAATTAAAGCACGTGAATTATATGAAATTAAATAAATGCTTAATTATATATATATATTAATATTTGCATAATTACCGTTTGAGGTGTAATAATCCAAGTTATTTATCAGAAGTAACGTATTAATACTTATATTTGAAAGGGTTAAACTATCATAACATCATAACTAAAGTTTCAAAAGTTTACTTCATTGCTAAAGTATCATAGAAACCATGTTGATAGAAACCGTGCTAATCGATACCTATTGTTGTACAACTGCATAGTTTGCGGCTTATATAATGTTATGCGAATCGGTTTATTAAGCACACATTTAATACAACTCATTGGTTTAAACATTATTTATATTCAATAAACTGCTAATTTAATGTATCATACAAAATACACATTATCTATATACAGACAGATTCAAAATTAAAACAAAACTACAATGTATAATTAAATTAATAAGTGTACTAAACGGGTTTTCTATCAGAAAAGAGGTACAAAGCTAGACGCTTATCCTTAGCCTCGAATATAATGTTTGAAAACTCTTTACCACAAAGCTTTTATTAATAATAATAATAATTATTACTTTAATAACTTTTTGTTTAAAAACTTCACACACATATGGTATGTTAAGATTAAGCAAATGTGATGTAAGAAAGCTGACGCATGGGCTCAAACCCCGTCATGGGCAAGCTGTTGTTTCCTTGCTTAGTACTGGTTGGTTACATGAGCATTTCAATAAATTTAGAGCTCCCAGCACAAATCGAACTAAAATAAATTCGTATACTCATACACTAACTGAATGTGTAACAAGCGAGGTTTTACGCACGCGTAAAATGGCTGCGAATGAACGGTCAGCTATAGACTCCATACGATGAGAAGAGCCAAATAACATGCTA